GCTGAAGTGAATGGCAAAATTCCCATTGATTTTTTCAGAGTCAGGCCCTTGACTATCCAGAGATGAGCATTTAGTGCATGTATTACAATAGCACCCCAGTGAAAACAGGGGCCCACTAGGCCAGGTGCTACATACGCATAGGCTATGTCTAGACTGGCATGATTTTCCGCAAATGCTTTTAACGGAAAAGTTTTCCTTTGATATTAACCATGATATTGTGGATTCTAAGCTGGATAATTCTCCTTTCTTTCATCTCTGGGAACTAAGAGATAAAAACTGGTGCAGAAAAATATGAAATTTTCCTCAGGAAAAACAACACCTGCTAGGATATGAATGGACTAGCTTTAACAGAGAAAAAGCTCTAGGGCTATGTTCACATTAGCAAGTACTGCTGCATAACTTGCATCCCAGTTCATCTGAAGTTTCCCAATGACACTCTACATATTAACACTATATCCTTGCTGATTATTTTCACACAAGGAATATGAAAAGGGATGAGAGAGAAGCAGAGCAGAGAAGGAAAAATAGAGATGACATAAAGACTGGGAAGTGGAAGAGAAAACAGGAGAAATGAGGAAACAAGAGGAAACAAAGGGCAGAAACGATGGCATTGCTAAAGGAAAGGGTATTTTCTCACAAGACACTGAACCTGTAATGAATGATAATAAGTAAGCATTTAGTTACTACATTGCCAAATCTTGATCTTACCCTTGATCTTCATGCAAACCTCCCATGGAAGTCAGTGGGAGTTGTGCTGCAAACTGAGAGGAGTATATAGCCCTAAATGAACACCCTAGCCCTTGACTCGTAATTTTAAATTGTATTAGTTGCATATACTCTGTTGTGTATGGGGTTGTTGTAGATATAGATTTTATTGTTATAGTAACTGAGTTAGGTCACTAGGGGGCAGCCTAGCGGTTTGGGCTGGTTCTAGTTAGTTCTGTGTTACAGATTAAAATGGCAACTTGCAGCCACTACAGCTCTCTGTGTTTCAAGCGATTTCTTCCTAAATTCCCTAATTCCAAACGATATTACACTCTCTGTAGGACAAGTTTGACACTTTTGCTCTATAGGTGCTTCCACTAGGGATAAAATTCACCACGATGCAGTACTAGGGATAAATCTGAGTGTGATTTCCCGCTGCGTCCCACAGGCACTCAACGTTTGCCACACTGCTGTCATTGTGGTCAATGAGGATTGCACCATTGACATCAACAGGAGCAAAACACTGAACCAACCAAATGCTTGTAAAAATCCTCCCTCCCCACCCCCAATCATTTTTGGCAATTAGATTTAAACTAGGGATGGAAAAGTGTAACCGTGTAAATGTTTAACCGATAAGCGGAGGCTTGTCAGTTTCCATTACAGTTACATGCTGCTTACCTGGGTCCCTTTTGGCTCCACTCCCAGGGAGCCAGCTTCATTGCAGTTTTTCAGTATAATTTGAATACTGCAGAGTGAGCAGTGAAGCCTCTCGGAAGCAGGAAAGGCAGCTCCTGCTGGCCCCACTTGGGGGAAGTTTCATTGCGCGCTCTGCAGTATAAAGTTTACATATAACCTTTATACTGCAGAGCCCACAGGGTGTGCAATGGCTTTTTACATCCCTAATGGAAACACCACCATTTTTGATCCAAGGCATCTCGTGAGCACATCTAGGGCATGTCTACGCAGCAGGGCAAAAGTTGAATTCAGATACGCAACTTCAGCTACATCAATTGCATAGCTGAAGTCAAAATACGAGTCAAAATTACGAGTCAAAACTTTGGCCAAATTACACAGCAGGAGTCAAAGGAAGAACCCTCTTCCTTTGACTTCCCTTACTCCTCGTGAAATGAGGGTTACAGGAGTCTGAGTAAGAAGGCCTCCATCTCAACACTATTTTGAAATAATGGCTTGCTGTGTAGATGCACATCTTTTGTATCTTGAAATAATGCCAGTTATTCCAAAATAATGCTGCTGTGTAGACTTACCCTTAGGCTGTGTCTAGACTGGCCAGTTTTTCCGGAAAATCAGCCACTTTTCTGGAAAAACTTGCCAGCTGTCTACACTGGCCGCTTGAATTTCCGCAAAAGCACTGACTTCCTACTGCAAGAAATCAGTGCTTCTTGCGGAAATACTATGCTGCTCCCATTCAGGCAAAAGTCCTTTTGTGCAAAACTTTTGCGCAAAAGTGCCAGTGTAGACAGCTCAGATTTGTTTTCCACAAAAAAGCCCCAATCGCGAAAATGGCAATCGGGGCTTTTTTGCGGAAAAGCGCATCTAGATTGGCACGGACGCTTTTCTGCAAAAAGTGCTTTTGCGGAAAAGCGTCCGTGCCAATCTAGACGCTCTTTTCCGAAAATGCTTTTAACAGAAAAGTTTTCCGTTAAAAGCATTTCCGGAAAATCATGCCAGTCTAGACGTAGCCTTAGTGTATAAGTGGTATGTTTAAACCAGAGTGTAAAATTAGGAAATATCTTACTGGGGACAGGTTTAGAACCTCGTCCTGTCCTTTTTTGCATGTAGAACTCATTAAATCCTATCAAGGTGTATGTAAGTGTGACTCTGAGCTTATAATTCAAAGGCTCACACAAATTATACAACCACCCAGTGTGCATTGAAAAAGATTGTAACATCAGTAACATAACAGTTCAATGTTACTTGTGCAAATGCCAAACAGGACATATTGTGAAACTCGTGAAGCAGGTTTTTTTTAAAAAGTATTCAATTTCTTTATGAACTCTCAGATAAACAGAATATTTCACAAGAGCTTAACAGGACCTACTGGGACAAAGAGTGAATAGGAAATTTCCATCCTCCACTCCCTAGGTAACTCTTGTTCTGTTTGAGCTGTCATCCAACTTGCCATTGGCAGACAATATGATGAAACAACTTGGAAGTTCATTTTGAACTCTGTCTTTTTTTGCTGAGAGAGCCCAGTCTGCTACAGAGTTCATTTCATTCTTCAGTTCAAGTGTTCATCACTGGATCATTTTTACATTGGGCAAAATTTTGAAGAGCCAAATACTAAGGCCCTTATTGAGGGCTCATTTGAGCCTGTGAGGCCCAGTCCTTTGTTGGAGGCCCTGTAGACCCGCTTTGCCTCAGACATGGACAGCAGCTACTGCCCTCTCGTACATACGCTCCAGGATGCGATGGATGCTGGCAAAACTGGGCCTGTCCGAAGGCAGCTTGCTCCAGCACAGGCGCATCAGGTTGTATAGCTCCAAAGGGCAGTCGTCAGGACAGGAGAGGACGTTGCCATCTCTCACATAGTAAATCACCTCCTCATGAGCCATCCCATAATAGGGTTGCATGCCATAGGAGAAAATCTCCCACAGGACCACGCCGTAGGCCCACACATCGGACTCGGTTGTGTAGCGGTTGTAGAATATTGATTCAGGGGGCATCCAGCGTATGGGAATGGCATCGTTTTCATTGGCTTTGTAATAGTCTGCGGAATAGATATTCCGGGAGAGGCCAAAGTCGGCGATTTTTACCACCCTATTCTCTCCCACTAAACAATTCCTGGTGGCCAAATCCCGGTGTACAAACTTGCGCTCTGACAGATAGGCCATGCCTGCAGCCACCTGCTTGGCAATGCCGAGCTGATCGGTGCAGCACAGTGCGAGGGGATTGGGATTGGAGAGCCGGATCCTAGTGTCCAGGTTACTGTGGCTCAGGCTGCAGAGGTTGCGTGGGGAGCGGGTGCGCAGGTACTCATTGAGATCCCCATAGGCCATGTATTCAAACAGCAGACACATTGGTTTCCCAACAGCACACACCCCTGAATGCAAGAAAATACACCAAGTCAGTCTTGTCTGGACTTTGCTGTTGCTGTTGTATGACAAAACAGAAATAAAACTTAAGAAGAATATTTTTAAAAAGCACAGATACCAATTAGGCCCTCAAATCCCACTAGCTTTCAATGACTTTTTGTCCCTTTTTTAATCTCGTAAAGAGAGAAAAAAATGTGGTGTGCTTGGTTGATTTACGCTGATCCTCCAAAATAAAAAATGTGCGTGCCTTCATTTGATTATGAATCAAATCTGTAAAGAGAGAGAAAATGTGGTGTGCTTGGTTGATTTATGCTGATCCTCCAAAATAAAAAATGTGGGTGCCTTCATTTGATTATGAATCAAATCTTGGTCAAATTGATGCTATTAAGAATTTTACCATAGACCCCACTGTGCTACAGGTACTGTACAAAGACAAAACAAACATGGTCCCTTCCACTATGTTTGGTGCTAAGCTCCTAGGAGAACTCTCATAAACCAAACTTCTGTGCTATTTCTGAAATTTCTGATTTTTTTCCTTGAGACTTCTTTATAAAAAACTGTACTTTTGCCTCTATTGGGGGTACACACAACCAATTTCTTCTGTTTTGCCAGATATCTTGTGATGTCTGTCCTTGAACCAAACCAAGTTCCCCTGTTAGGATTAAATGTTTCAAAAATATTTGTATCTACATTTTGTATTTTCCCTGGGGAGTTAAAACTATTCTTTCAAACAAATTCACAACCAGATGAGTGAAATGGAGATACACACTCTGTCACAAGGTAATGGGTATCTTTTGTGTCTTAAAGAAAAAAACATTAAGTATGGGAAGAGCTTGGTGTGATGCAAAAGTGATTGACATGTATTCCTTTCAATTTGAAAGTAAATTATTATTTATCAAGGACCAGATTTCCTTAGCAGCTACTATTCTGAGTGTGAGCTACTGAATGCTGAGCAATTTAAAGGTCTGACCCCAGATAGTTTGCCCTGTTTTGCTGGCTTTTTTCAACATTCAATGAATGAATTATTTGGTTAATAGATTTCCAAATTATTCACACAGTTTTACCAAATAACAATATTTTAGAGCTGGTCAAAAAGGCAAGAGCATCATCCATATTCTACTGCTTGACAGCCACTGAAAACCAGTGCAACCAGAATTAAGATAGTATACATTCATCTGAAGAAGTGGGTTGTACCCATGAAAGCTCATGATGCCATCTACAGGTTTTGTTAGTCTTTAAGGTGCTGCTAGACTATTCGTTGTTTCTTAAGTTTATTCTTAGAAATGCCATTCAGCATAGCATATGGCTTATTGTGAAATATGAAATTCTTGCTGACGACCTCACACTTGACTCTGAGAAAGAACAGACATTTCTCAATATGATATTATCTGGTTCTAGCAAGAACAAATAACGCAAAAGGTTTATTGGCCAAATAGTGTTCAACATTATTTCCCAAATAGTGTTCAGTCATTTCCTCACACCCTTGCAATACAAAACTGGTTAATTCCTGTATCTTTGGCTTTCCTAATTTGTTCAGTGAGTTAGCAATAAACAAAAAATTGATTTTAGTTTAGGGCACTTCTTGTTCCTCCTTTCTGTTGCTGAAGTACATACTCTTTCATGAAGCCAGATTTCATGCAGAATTCCTGCACTAGGGGTAACTTGCCTGATAATATTCCTGTTGATATGGACAAAGATTTGATGACTAGATGACAAAGACCAAATCTACCTACAGGGAGTTTACAGAAGAGCCATCTGATGGCATTTCTAAATGGCCTCTACCACTGCTGAAGGATGACGTTTGTGGGACTAAAATTCTTGCGGTCAGATTGCTTGATGGAAGAATGACATGGGAGCCCATTAGCTCACCATTAGCTATTTTCAGACAGTCTGCAAAGGAGTAGGGGAAAGAGAAACCCATGAGCTACTCAAGCAATTCAGTGACGGGAGTCAGTGAGTAACGGAGACAATCTGTGCACTCAAAATTTGCACCCACAGTTTTGTACCTGCAAATAAATAGCCGTTCTGAGTACCTGCATCTCTAGCCAGATCTTTTGTACGTACAGCCTGGCGGAAGTGTAAACAATCAGATTTGCACCTACATCCTTCAACTGCAGGCAGAGAAAAGTGTCTGCATTCCCCTGTAGTCTGCCTGTGCCCACGGGTGAGTTTCACCCTGAGTGCATTGACTCAGTAGTTTCAATCCAGATCTTTCACAACGTACCCATATTTCAAAAATCACCATGATTTGAAACTAACTGGTGCCTGTGTTAAAAGTCTTAGCAAAGAGATACAGAGACCAACCTACGTGCTGATACAGGACCCTCAGTGCAGGATCTGAATGTCTTATTTAAATGGCCCTATATGAAAACTAGTCTGTCACAACATAATGAAAATGGTATTAGAGCTAAACATTCCAACATGTGCCAACATAGAATGCTAAAAGCATGAAGCATCATGTATATAAAAAACCTAGGGCCTGGCCAAAAACAAATGTCCGCCTCCCAGGACTTAATGTGAAACTTCCATATACAGGAAGTCCCCAATTTAAGAACAGGTTTTGTTCCAAAAGTTCATTTGTAAGTTGGCTGTTTGGAACTCGGAATGCATGTTCCGATAGAAACAATGTTATAAATAATAGCTAGATTCCCAGGCTAGCCCACAAAAGCCCATTTAATCCATAGTGTATCTGAAATACTGTATATGTGCAATGAAAAATAACTAGTTCTTTAGGAAAGGCAAGTTGAATTAGAGGAGATAGGTGGAGATTCTGAAGGGGACTTCTGGCCATCCTCTGGCCACACACACACACCCCTCCACTCAGCACCGGCTCTGGCAACACCCATCCCCCATCCAGCCCCTCCCTTCATCCATCCCACAAGCTGCACCCAGATCCTGCTCATCAGGGGACAGCCAATGGAGTGAATGCTGACGGAGGACTCCAGAAGAGATGGGGCAGCCATGCAGCCAATGGCTGGAAAGAAGCAGCAATTCCCCTTCAAACATGTTGCTTTTCTCCAGCCTGTGACTGCCCCCTGATCCTCCGGAGTCCTCTGGCCAGCACCTGTGCTTCTCGTCTGCCCGTCTGAGGCTGCGGGTGAGCTTTTGTTTGCATGTGCGGATGTTTGTAAGTCAGAGGTTTGTAACCCGGGGAGCGCCTGTCACTGCAAAGCTCTGTGCATGCCACCCAAGTTCATTGCGCTTTTGAAATTTTAGACCCAACATGACGACAGACACATTCCTTGGAAGACCACACCCTAAGGGCAGAGAATTTTGGTTTTGTACCTAACAGCTTGACGATATTCGGGTTATCAAATTCCGCCATGAGTGCCGCCTCCCTCTGGAAATCAGCCTGCATGTCTGCCGAAGCTTCCTCCTTTAGCATTTTCACTGCCACCATTGTGAATGGCTCGTACGGAAGCAATCCAGGAGCCCTTCGAGAAACAGAAAGAAAATCTCTGCATAGGACTGGAGATATTGCACAGGCACACCCCATTAGCCTCATTTCCAGAAAGAATTCATGGACCAAACCAAGCGTGGACAGTGGGAGAGGTCTCAAAGACATGCCCACAACTGGAAACCATTTTGCAGCCTTCAGCAGTCTCAGGAGACAGCAAGGACCGAAAGGGGGTGTCTCCTGGGCAGGGGTGTAAGATGCATGGCCAGCATGTGGGAGAGGTGGCGCTGCTGCTGCCCTTGTGGTGTCTGAGCAGTGTCTAGCTTCACCCCTGCGTACTCAGTCCTGCACATTTCACCAGCTGTCCCTTGTGAGAGGGCAATCTCATTTGCTGAGCTTTTCAGGCTTACAAGCTTGCCCGAGAGCAGCTCTTGTAACATGCCGTAAACTGTAGACAGGGCTGGGTAGATGGAGCATGAGGCAGGGCCTCAGGAGAGTTAGATTCTGTTGCCGGTTCTGTTTCTGATCTGCTTTGGCACTAAGGGGAAATCTCTGTCTTGTCGGCTGAGTGTAGCCACAGTGCCTGGTCCCATCTTTAGATCACAAACACTGTACCAAGCAGGCCAGTGTTGTTAACCCCATTTCACAGATGTGGAGGTGATGTGAATATAAGAACGGCCATGCTGGGTCAAACCAAAGGTCCATCTAGCCCAGCAGCCTGTCTTCTGAGAGTGGCCAATACCAGGTGAACAGGTAATTATTATGTGTTACCCATTCTCACCCCTGAGAAGCAGAGGCCAGAGACACCATCCCTACCCGTTCTGGCTAAGAGCCATTGTTGGACCTGGCCTCCATGAATTTATCCTGCTCTTTTTTTGAACTCTGACTGTGAGGCTTTGTCTGGAGACTAATGGTGGAGCCTGGAAACCTGGGACCCCTGTCTTCTGTCCCAGGCCAATGCTCAAGGCTGCAGTGCCTCCATTGAGGCAGCCTTCTCAACTGGAGCCTCTCACCACCACTGGGACATAAATGATAATCTGTGGGGCATGCTTCCCTTAATACTTCATTAGAGCGGGTGGATCTCTAATTCCAAAGGACAATAACTTTCCATTCTTTAAAGGATGGCCAAACCTAGGGGAATAGTGTGTGTTTCCCTACCAGGGCTGGCACCTGAGATGGGGAGCTCAAATGTTGCCCCCATTCCCCTTCGCTTGGGCCGAAACTTTGAAAGGTCTCAAGTCTGCCTTCTTCCTGTTCTACTCCTCTCATGGTACTGCAGAAAGAATACATATGCACCAGCAACAGACACAATTTTCTACATTCTGGGTCCTAGTGGCACCCTCCCACAGTCTGGCACCTGAAGCAGCCGCCTCAGTTCACCTCATGGTAAGGCCAGCCCTGTTCCCTACCCCTGGAGATATGGAAGCCTTGCCCTCAGCATTGTAACACAGTGCCTGGATGTAGCCATCCAATGCCTATAAAAGGCAGCATCCATTTGTGAATTATATTTCTACACCTGGCTTGCTGATCTGCCACTGCTGAAGTGTCAGGTTATTTTGCGGTTCAGTAGCCAATGAGAGGTTCTCGTTTCCAAAGCAAACTTCCAGTTACCTTGTCACCTTCTGCAAACAGATGGCATCGCAACAGATGCACTTGGCTACTGTAAATGTCACATCATTGTCAAATGTCAGAGAATGGCAAAATGCCCATCTAAAGAGAAATCGCCTCAGGCAGCCAGTTATTACAGCTAAAAAGCTTTCTCTGTTGAGATCCAGCACCTAGGAGCAATAAAATCAATTCTTGCTTTTGCCCACAGTTGCCTTCTTTAAAGCAAAGTGCTGTTTTCACCTTCTGGTGGGTATCAGATCTTCCACTGTGCTGTTAGGGACAATACCCTTTTAATACATCAGTCAGTGTTACCCTCCTTTTCTCAGTCACTGAAATATGTAAGTGATCTGTAGTTACTGATGGATAATGCAAGAGTTTGAAAGATAAGGGGGCTCACCTCTTCTGATTAGCATCAGGGCTTCATTACAGCTGATCAAAAGTCAAGAAGTATTTACAGGGAACAGAAATAAGAGGCAGCACATATAGGTTTCACATGGCGTTCTTTTGAGTGAGAAATTCACCCCTGTGCAAAGGCCAGCAATAAACCTATGCACCTCTTGAATCATGAAAGTGTAAATTAAATCGGGCTTAAGCAATGCATTAGCTTTGCAGTGAGTGAGTTGACTCTGTGGTTTCTTTGGTCCATTTCTTAGCAGATCTATATTGCAAATACCCCCATGATTTGGAACCAATTGCTGCCTTTAGTAACAATTTTAGCAGAGAGCATAAGAACGGCCATACTGGGTCAGACCAAAGGTCCATCTAGCACAGTATCCTGTCTGCTGGCAGTGGCCAATACCAGATGCCCCAGAAGGAGGGAACAGAACAGGTAATCCTCATGTGATCCCTCTCCTGTCACCCACATCTAGACAGAGGCCAGGGACAGCATTTCTACCCATCCTGGCTAATAACCATTGATGGATCTAACCTCTATGAATCTATCTAGCTCTTTTTTTAACACTATTAAAGTCCTAGTCTTCACAACATCATCTGGCAAGGAGTTCCACAGGTTGAATGTGCACAGAGTGAAGGAAAACTTCCTTTTGCTTGTTTTAAACAGAGACAGAGATCCCTAATCCACAGAGTTCTCTTTCCAGGGCAGTATTTGCCAATAAACAAAAGAGCTCAGTTTCCAGGGCTGAAAATTGGGGGCTTCCTCCTCAACAGATTATTCCTTCCAGGGACCAGGTTGCACCATCTGATGTTTGGCTAGTCTATCTCTCTGGTGCTTGGATTAAATGCTACGCTGCCCACACATTATGGTGTTTGGGGTCGCAGAAGCGGTCTACGCCTTCGGGCACCTGTGCAGAATAGGAAAAGGTGCGATTCTTAGGTGAAGAATGTGGCTCTTAGGTGACAACCAACACAAAGCAGGGCAGAGTTACCCCAGGCAGACTTGAGCTATATCTGCATTTAGGGTGGGAAGGACTTTTGTGCTTGAGGAGTGCAGTTGTTGATCATGGTTTTAATCCCAGAATTTTGGACAGTCTTTTAGATCTGCTGAGCCATAGCCGCCGAGCCAAACTGAAGGAGGCTGCATGTGGTCTGAGAGCTGTAAGAGGAGTAATATCCACAGTGCATAAGGTAGGGCTCATCACTACTTTTATCAGAAGGTCCTCAGATGGCCCAGCTTTGTGCGATTTACTTGAGCCTGGCTACTGATCTCATTCTAGGACAGTTGTGAAGGTAATTTGTTACATCCTCAATTCCCACTGCAGGAGACAGTTCTTAATACAAATGGCAGCCTTTCAGAAGGATCCAGTAAATAACAGCCAGTCACTTCCTGTCCTGACATGCTGCTTCACCCAAGAATAAGTAAACAGTGAATCAGAATTTTAAGTAAGCCAACTGGCAAAGAGATTATTGGCACTGAGTGTAGAATTATGTTTACAGGGATGAAATATTACACGAGGAGAAACAAGAGGCTTGCTAAATTTAGTCTGAGGCATCCATTAACATACATAGGACCAGTATATATAATTTTCTTTCTGAGAACAGAAAAAATGGTCCTTTTTCATGCAGTAGCTTTAGTGTTCTATCCAGGTGTGGACCTGGCAGTTCTGGAAGCTAACCGAGCCATCGTTTTTCATCCACCAACCCTGTGTAGCAGTGCCAACTGCAAACTTTTGCCAGTAAAAGCTCCATTTCTCAGACATCCTTGATGAAGCTGCAAGGTGAGAGGATAACACCAACAATGCAGAGGAAATCTTTTCAAGAATCAGTATGGCGGACTCTCCATCTTCAAGCCAAGGCCCAAAGTAGTTCCCAAAGCACAGAATATGTCTGTTTTGTGTTCATACACATTGCCCTCTCTTCTAAAAATATCACTTAAAAACTTATTTAAAAGAATTGCAAAATGCAATGAAAGTTACATTTGGGAATCTGGAGTGGTAAGGATTATTCTGAAGAAATGTGCCATGGATAGAATTCACCCATGACAAGAGGTCCTACCTGAGGAGCTATTTAAGGCTCACTAAGCAATCTGCTTAACGAGGGTTTGAATTGCCTTGTATTGGTACTGTTCTGTTTTAGTGAACCTTCACTTCTATGCACAGGGGATAGCCCAAGTTGATGTAAGTGGGGTACAGTCCTTGTGCTGCCTCTCTGCATATAGGTGAATTATACCCCATATGAAATAAAATGATAGGCTGCATTCACCAGGGTGTTCCAGATGCCTGGTTTAGCTAGGCAGATATGCTGGGTATAGGGCTGCTTTACCTCATGGGAGTGGCAAGTGGCATCCGCAGCACAGTTATGAATCTGGTCCCATATGCTTTGTTGTCGCTTCAAACTCAGCTCATCTAGTTTAGCCATCAATGCGAACAGTCAATCATAAGCTAGGCATCTGTGATTTTGCTGCAGCTTGCCCTTTAAACTGTTATTTTTAACACAGTCTGTATAAATAAATGTGCACTTCCTCCACATCCCTTCGGGGGGACAACAATCTCTGACATCCATTGAAGTATTTCCTTGCTCTAACAAATTTAACCTACTGCATAATTCATTTCCTGATTAAAGTTGTCAATGATAACGGTGACCATGGCAGCGCAGACCTTTATCATACTATTAAGTTCAAAATGTCTGCTCTTGCAACCACAACTTGCAAAAGGAGTCCTTTGACTTGGCAATCAATGAGGCAAGTCCCACTAGTACGGTTGGGGGCCCATGTCCATGTTGAGCAATATGTACATTGTGATGTTCATTTTTGTCTCTCTCTCTCATACAGTTCCACATAGAACCAACCGCTTTGCCAGTCGTATTCCATCCCACAGAGGCATCCCAAGTAGCAAACATATCACTGAAATTAACTGGGAAAAGAAAAAAGGGGGCCAAAATAAATACCTATTGCAACCTCTCCACCTTCTTTCAATAATTCTGGGGTGGGATTTTCAAAAGAGCTCATCATTGGATTAATTTGCTCTCTCTGGTGGCAATGGGAGTGTAACACAGACTCTGTTAGAGCCAATGGAAGTTGAACTGAGCAAATTCTGAGTTCTTTTGAAAATTCTGTCTGTGACTTCTTGAAAACATGTAGGCTACGTCTACACGTGTACCCTTTTCCAGAAATGCTTAAAGCGGAACAGTTTTCCGTTATAAGTATTTCTGGAAAAAGCGCATCTACATTGGCAGGATGCTTTTCCAGAAAAGCACTTTTTCCGGAAAAGCGTCTGTGCCAATGTAGACGCGCTTTTCCGCAAAAAAGCCCCGATGGTCATTTTCGCGATTGGGGCTTTTTTGCGGAAAAGAAATCTGTGCTGTCTACACTGGCCCTTTTCCGGAACAGTTTTCTGGAAAAGGACTTTTGCCCAAACGGGAGCAGCATAGTTTTTCCGGAAAAGCAAGTGGCCAGTGTAGACAGCTGGCAAGTTATTCCGGAAAAGTGGCTGATTTTCCGGAATAAGTGGCCAGTGTAGACACAGCCATAGAGAAACCAAGACTGGAAAACACTTCAATTAATATTCATACGAACTAGCACTGGGAGTCTATTTCTATCCTTTGTTCCTCCTTGCCCAGATCCTACCCTGCATTCAACTTTGTTCCCATTCTCTCCCAGCCTTGCTTCTGCCTCTGAACCAACTCTGCTCCTGCTGGGCCTGACTCATGGTAACTAGTTTCCAAGCCTCGACTCTGAATCCTGTTTCCAGGACACTCTTGATCCATTTCTGACCCTCAGCTCTGATCCCTGACTGTGTTAGGCATTCGGACTCTGACAACTAGGCCTGATTGCCAACAACCCAGTCTCCTGACAAATAGGAAAAAACTGTTGTCAGTTTCAGGAATAAGGACCCACTATGCAAATAAAGGGATTTTTCCAGGATTGGGGCCTAACTGTTAGATCACAGCTAGTATAGCAGTGGGGAGTAACCACCAGCAAATGATGACTTTTTAATGCTGGCTGGCATGTACCCACTTCTAAAACAAATGTGACATCCTGGGAAGATATGAAAATTCGACAATGGACTAGTCACAATATAAACAAGCAAAATTCTTACCATCCTGAATGCATCATAAGCTTAGCTACCACATTCAACTGAATTCCCAGGAATAATTGACCCACTATGTCTAATATACAGAAGATGATTATGGACGTTTGTGACAATGTTTTACCAAATAACAATTGAAAGTGGGAAACAGGAGTAAATAAGTCCAGTTTTAAAATTAGTTTTGTCACACTTTCACACATTTCATTCTGTTTAGAACAATTAATTTCTCCACAACAAGTTGGAATAAACAGATGTCTTCCTGCTTCCAGAAATCTAGCCAGAGGTTAATGTCTTTCAGTTAATAATATTAAAGGGCACTTGCTAGCAGGACATTTACCTTGCTTGAAAGACCCTTCCAAATGCTCCTTCTCCAATATCTCTCACGTATTCAATATTGTTTCTTGGATATTCCAGGCTGAGTAATTTAGGATTCAGGAGGAGGGGCATGCGCTGGTACATGGGGTTAGGATGAAGTCTGTCCAGGAGGAGCTCTGATGGAAGAGTGGTAAGTGCTGGTGCTTGTGACTCCCTGAAATGATGGATAAGGAAATGATCAGTAGGGGAGAGCACGTAGGGTACTGTGTCAGGAGAGAACAAGGCTGGAAAATGGAGGAGCAGAAAGACTGTTCAAGGGGCCTCTTCGCGCCGTATAGAGATGGAATAGAGATTATACATGAAAATGGCTGCCAGGCCATAGCCTGCCCTATATTTATGTTTTTTCACCTTTGCTCCCACCATGCCAATGTCCTCATTTACAGCCCCATATGCCACATATGGGGATATGTGCCTGCCAAGTGTCCAGTGTCACTGCCCAGGCACTTTGCTGTCTGCCCCCCCCTTCTTACCCATTGTGCACTGCCATGTGTCTCATGACATTGTAGCGTTGTTTCTGGGATGCTTACAGTGTGCTTGTTGTTTCTAGGGATCTAGACTGACTATGTTGGTCTGCCAGGTCAGCAGCCAATCCAGCAGGTCATTGGGGATGGGAATTGAACTTCTGTGAACAGTTGCAACAGAACTACTCACATTAGACAGGATTACTCATTTGATCTAGAGTTTGCGGGACCATGTCCTCAGTAATTTGGGGCCGCAATATAGCAAAAGGAAACCTAACAGGTGAGAACCTACAGCAAAAAGTAATGATACCCTGGAAACAATATTCTCGCCCCTCGAGCACTCTGCAAACTTACATTTTTCAAAAACCAGTGTCCTTTATGTTTTTGACAATAAAATAAATCTAATGGCTGGAAAAATTCTCTTCTGTCCTGTTCCACAAACAGTGCAGACTGTTAACCACCAAGAGTAAAGTTGAAGCTAAGGAATTTGCTTCAAGTGCGTGAGGGTTTTGAGGAGAGAGAAAACCCACAAATATTATTTTCAAACCTCATTCAAGTCCAGATAAAATCTTATATATTCACTAATGTCTTGCCATTAAGAGTTTGTAGGGTAATGCTTGGGAACAGAAGAAATTCCATTAAGAGTCTCCTTCTGTTTTTGTTTTACTTGTAGCCGGTGGGCTGGTGTTGCACTTTTAAATTCCTTTAACAATGTCTAAATATCTTCTGATTACTTCTCATCTAATCTCCCCAAGGAGGAAAGGTACCTACATCTCGATTGTCTGGAACAGTAGGTCCTTACATTCAAAGCTAAACTTGAACTCATTCTCCAAACTGTTACTTGCCTGAAAAACCAGCACAGTTGTTTGCTGTTCAGAAGGAAAGCAACCGACCTGCTTAATCTTATACACATGTTTTCAGATGCCTTTGTCAAGTGATCCCTGCTTGAGGTCCTATGTAGTTAGGGATTTGCTACTGTTCATGTGACTCTCTTTGACCTACAGTATATAAGTCAGCAGTTCCTTGGCTTTCTGTGATGAGAATTCAGAATGAAATGCTGCTGTCCTCAACTGGAAATGTGAAGGAAAGCTGAAGCACTAGACAAGCACCAATATCTTTCCTGGTTTCAAGGTTTCATGGAAGACCATGAACATTTTTGGCCTGCATTATTAGCTGCTTTTAATGTGTTGTTTGTTCTGCAGTAGCACACAGAGGTTCCATTTAGGATCAGAGTCCCAGGGCTGCAGGAGCACACAGAGGTTCCATTTAGGATCAGAGTCCCAGGGTACCAGATAATTAACAGACACAAGCTGTCAGTCAAGAAGAAATTTCTGACTTCAATCTTTTCTGCCCATATAATTAAGAACCTGACCTCTGCAAAGTCATCTAAAGTTCCCCCATTGAATCTGAATGTAGTGAGTACTGGAATTACCATGCTAAGCCCCTCGTCAAAGCTCTCTTTGCTGGAACAAATCCTACCTGGCTTTATCTATAGATCTCAAGGTCTTACCTCTTTTTGTTTTTCCATTGTTTTCGCCTCCGGCAGCACACAAGAGCAATGATCATGAAGATCACAATCAGTGCAAAGCTGGAGATGATGGAAATGATGACAGTCATGGAGTATGTAGGGGAGAAAGAAGACGAAGGAAGACTGGGAGTCTCTGCACTTGGTTTTTTGGTGCCTGGTGCTAGGGATACTGTAATGAAAACAAAACCAGTGATTCCATCCCTCTTAAATTCTCTAGAACTTTTTGTTGGGGGTCGTTTCTAACATTACCCACTGTCATGGAAATTATTGTGATGTCACAAATTCAGCCATATGACTTCAGAACAGGATCATACAGGAGGGGGTGACTGAGAAGGAAGAAACCCCTGTTTCATGCCAGTAACTTTAAGCATCAAAGGAATACACATCTGATAGATTCAAATGTATTTAAACTTTTAGTTTAATTATATTTTTCAAAAAATTACCCTGAATCTACATATAAGTATTGGTTTCGCTTTTTCAGAGCCATGCTAACATGATGGTTGGTACACATGATGGCCAAACCTATAAAAGGGAAGCTAAGTCAGATCACAGCTTTGGATCACTAGAGTCTTACAATGCTTCTGGTCTATGCTAAGAGGAAGTGGTGAAAAGAGCCTTTGCTGAGCATATTTGGACGCTGTTTGAATTGTATTTCTGAGATGGTCATTTAAAATCTTGATATCTATGAAGAAGACAAATGCATGCCTGGCACCAAGCTTAGAGGCAGGAACCCCTAAATTCTGATCGTGCCTCTGACCTGGATTACCCAGGGCCATAGAGAAGAAGTCACTTGGCTTCTTCTCTATCTTCACTTCTCTCTGGATTTCCCAGGGCCATAGAGAAGTCACTTGGCTTCTTCTCTATCTTCACTTCTCCTCTCTGCCAATCAGGACGTGTTAGTTTAGAAACATTAAGGGCCCAAATCCTGTTCCCACTGAAGTCCAAAGAAAATGGCACACTTGTCAGAGCAATCATGGTGACTACTGGGATATGATGATCCTGAATAGTTTTGTGGTTCAGTGTTTAATGATGTTCTAAAACTAGCTACTTCCGTGAGAAGTGGTTAGCTGCTGTCCCTTACCGTCTCCACAGAGAGGCACATTGCAGTATTCCCAGCTTATAGAATGATCCTTTGTGTAACACCAGGGACGCTCATTTTCCCCTCCTGGATTACGACATGCGTTCTCTGCATTTGATAGCTCTGGGAAAACCTGAGGGGTCCTTCTGTGCAAATGAGGTACCTGGGGTTAATGAATAAATTGCATTTAGTGTTCCTAGAGTGCACTAGCTCCTTATGGTTTTAGAAACAGCAGCTCCTATGCCACCACCACCCCTTTCTTGTTGTTGATAGAGGGACAGAGGAAGGGGACTTTTTATGCCCCGCTGATCTGCAGCTGCCATAGTTCCCATTTGGGGTTATTGGGCATGTGGCTTATTTAAGCTAGTTTTCAGGTTGCTCTGATGCGAGGGCAGATGCCTAGCACACTTCTGGCCCCTCCAATGTCACCTTTGCCTCCTTTGCCCCGTGGATTCGTATACCCAAGATCACATACTTGGGCTGGGATTTTCAGAGGTGTCTAGAGCAGGGGCCCAACTTCCACTGAGTTTCTGTAACACTCTTTGGCTATCCCAGCATTAGACTGTAGATCCAACCCGGACTGTAGATCTGAATAAACTGATGCCCACCTGCTCACTCCACTTCTGGCAAGGAATTCCTGAGGTTGTGATGTTGATAGAGCCCTGGTAGAACCTGCCATTGCCTTTATAGCACGTTGCTGTGGGGGAAAAGCCATTTCAACAAGTGAAGTAAGACAACGGGCTGAAGTATAGTGAATAAAAATGTAAAAACTATTTCATAAACTAGGAGTAAATGACCTCAATTGTTGATTTAGACGGGGGAAAAAACTTCTTGGAAACTAAGGTGGCTAGACAGCTAGTTGACTATATTTGCACCTTGGAATAGATTTTTGAGCTCAGTTGAGTTAGTCCATGTTTACACCACTGTGATGTGGGTTCAGATTCCAGTGTAGCAATTCCATCCATCCAATTCACTCCTCCTCCACAGTGCAGCAAATGCAGCACACAACAGCCTGGGAGTACCTTTCTAGTTGTTTCATGGGCATATATAATAACTAAAGCTGCACAGAATATAAAATTAATTATTCCTTGTTTCCTGTAAAATTTGGTATTAAAAGGGCAGCTCTTAGAACTGTACAATTAAATACCATCCTGCACATCAAAAGGTTTGCTGACCTGATTGGAAGGAGGGTTTTCGAAGAAACAAAAGGAAGATTTTTCCGAAACACATAAGAGAGCAAACCCCCTAAGAGTGACTGGGACTATTGTGAATTCCAGAGCCAGGTCCTACCTATCATTGGCCCTGACATGGCACTCCTATGAATCAGCCTCCTACCCACTTAGACTGGCATCTCCACAGGCAGTCTTCTCTCCTCAGGACTAGCAACTGAAGTCCCTATAAGCCCCTGGTGTGGAAGGGTGACATACTATCCTCTGCCTTCAGAGGGGTGAATCAGGCTCTGAAACCATGTCCCTCTTCTCCCACCTACATGTGGTGCTTGTGTGATGGGAGTGTAAGCTCCTCGGGGCAGAGTGTATGTATGCAGTGCTTAAACATGAGGTGGTATCTGCACACAGTGATACAGAGAATAATAAAGAATGGATACCGTTCAGGTAGGTCATCAAATCTTATTCACACTGGAGAAAAAGTGAGCAGGAAATCTTGTGAGAATAGGCTGAAGTGCAAGGTTTTTTAAACTAGCTGCTTCTGGGAGGGTTGGAAGTGCCATAAGGCACTTCTCTTGCACTATTTAAGTACCATGTAAACCATCCCTGATAGATGTCTATCTAATCTGCTCTTAAGTATCTCCAGAGATGGAGATTCCACAACCTCCCTAGGCAACTTATTCCAGTGTTTAACCACCCTGACAGGCAGGAAGCTTTTCCTAATGTCCAACCTAAACCTCCCTCGCTGCAATTTAAGCCCATTGCTTCTTGTCCTGTCCTCAGAGACCAAGGAGAACAATTTTTTCCCCTCCTCCTTCTGACACCCTTTTAGATACCTGAAAACAGCTATCATGTCCCTTCTCAGACTTCTCCTTTCTAAACTAAACAAGCCCAATTCTTTCAGTCTTCCCTCGTAACTCATGTTCTCTAGACTTTTAATCATTCTTTTTTGCTCTTCTTTAGACCCTCTCCAATTTCTCATCTTTTTTTTGACATGTGGTGCCCAGAACTGGACACAATACTCCAACTGAGGCCTAATTAGCACAGAGTAGAGCAGAAGAATGACTTCTCGTGAGGGTAGGGGACTCTTCAATGATCTCTTGAGGTCCTTCCATTTCTAATATTCTTTTATTCTACTTCAGCACCCTTTCTTCCATCCCTAGTCAGACACCAGAAGTGGAGAGAAGGGACATTTGGGAATAGCGTGAAAAGTGACACTAACATGTTGAACTTCAGGGAAGATTTGTTTGACATTCAGTCTGTGTTTGGAGTGAAAGATTTGGCCTCCTATTTTATCTAAGCAGGTTTTACCCATTCTTCATCTGTAGGATACATGCAGAATATGGTTTCAGGTATAAATATTTAAACTGGACATTTATAATACAAGTTCAAAAGAACCCAGTAAATCAAATGCATCATCAATGATCATGTATTCCTTAATCTCTTGCATTTCAAGCCCCAATTATTGCAATAGTTTTATTTTCTGTAGTCTCAGTACAGCTCTTGCAGGGCTCTCTACATTACACACTGGGCAGAGAAAAGAAACCACTTGACAGACCCTACAATGACAATATCCTAGCAGCACAGAATAAATATTTTAGGAGTTTTCTTTTCAAGGGCACAGTGAATAATATCTGAAACTTATTTAACTATTGATCTGGTACCCAGATGCTGCAAAAGCATTAGCCTGTTTCTTGACAAAAGTAAGTGACCCAGGCCCTCCCATTTGGGACTCTCACCACATCTGAAATAAATATCCATGTAATGTTTGTGAGACACTTTCTAGTGACCTTTTGGAGTTGGAACCAATTACTAAAAAAAAGTAGCCCCTGCTTTCTCTTTAAGAGTGATGAGAAACTAGGAAACAAGGATGCCTCTTACACAGCTAACAGCCCATAGGAAAAAGCAAGGAGAAACAGAGATTTTGTATTTGGAATTTAGTTAATAGTAACTCCACTGATGATGTATGCATTGGAATACAATCCAGCTCATTCTCCCATAGTTGTATGGATTGGCAATGATACTATAAAAAAAGGCACCTAAATCCTACTTTTGTCCTAAAAGCCAGCAGATGTGACTGAAATGTACAAGGAAAGAAGGGGAAATCAGCTGAATAAGATGATGTCCTTTGTGAAATGCCAGCAATACTACACAGAAAAGTAGCACATTTTCACAGTCTCTCTTCTGACCTACCACAGCATTTAAAACCCTGACCCAAAAGTAACGAGGGAAAGTTAATTGCTCTTTCTCATATATACACACACACATATACATGCCTCTCTCTCTCTCTCCCTCACACACACACACACACACCTTCCTCTCTGAGCAGGGGAAAGACTACAGCTGTATGCCTTATGCAAAGATTTGTATCAAAACAGCAGGATTTAGAGCAGCTGTAATGAATCAAGCTATTGTTCACAGCACATTATAATAGGGAAGTGCTTGAGGGATTTGTATGGCTGATTCTGGAACCCAAACCGTAGCTGTAGGGAGAGAGAGAGTATTATGCGGAAAAACCAATGTTTGCCTCCCAATTTTTCCTCTGTTTGCATTGGGTGCCTCCCAATTTGAGCACTCCCAAGGGTGGAAGCAAAAGTACAGGAGATTAGGCTTCTGGGGGTTCATTTCTTTTCTCTGCACACTTCTACCACTTCTCCCTTCCTTTCCTTTGCCCTTCCACATTCTTTCTTCCTCTTTGCTCTGTTTAGTTTATCTGTGGGCAAGCTACACATTCAAGATACTGAGTTTAACTCAGTTTTTATGAAGAGCTTTTGGCATCACACCAAGGAGTTGCATACACACATTTCAACCCATACAAAGGCTAAATCGTCACAGTTTATCAAATCGAAAGCTCCACAGGAGGTATGAACAGCCAAAGAGTCCTCATGTTGCAAAAATCTTGACACATCATGATGAAAAAGTATATTGCAAATATTCAAAACATGCAACATCTTTGAATTTATCACTCCCCGCATGTTCAAAATCCATGAGTCAAGGCCCTCCAAAATAATAAGATTGGCTTTAAAAAAAATCACAAGATTTAAAAATGAATCAACTATTGGCTCTTGTTATTTGCCTCCTGGTGTTGGTAAGTTTGGGGATCACATTTTTTCCCTAAGTTTGAAAGCTACTTGTTTTAAATGAAAGCTGGGATTTGTAGGTAATAACTTAATTCCAATAGGTATTTGGGGCTGAAGAAATCTTCCCCACCACAGATGATATGAGAGTAGGCAGCATAGGTTTTTAAACAACTAGACCAGTTCAAGGACTCCAGTTCTAAACCTGAAGGGAATCTACTTACTGGTTGTATTTTCTGTGTTAAAATCTGAAAAATAAAAAAACACAAAACAACAAGAAGTAAGCAACAGATATTCTAACTGAAATCATGGTTCAATGGCACAGCTACTATCAGTTCTCTCGTGTGTTGCGGGAAAACATTCTTTCCCAGAAGCGCGCTAAAGACTAGTTTCTCAGTACATATGCCAGTTCTTCAAAGTGGCAACACTATCATTAACAAAATTGGTTTGAGCAACAAGTTTGTTTTTTGGGACCAGTGTTCTAAAATAGGGCTGCTGGGTTTTGGGTGGGTTGGACATTGGAATCAGACCAGATAAACAAACAACGGTTGTGGCATTCGTTCTGTACTGCACAGAATATGACATTTCACACACAGGCTACAGGAGAATAAAAGATGATGCACGGCTACAATTTGTGGCCAAAGCCCCTTCCAGCTATATAGACTGATACCTGACCCCCAAAACTCTGATGAATCCACCACAGATAAGAGTCCAAGGACAGGGAGCAGTATTGGTATGGTGCTGGCTCATAATCCCTCTTTGGGGAGGAGGAGTCACCACATTCTTAAGCTCATAATCCCTCTTTCTTTGGGGAGGAGGAGTCACCACATTCTTAGGGCATAATCTGGCTCACACTTTAGTCCTGATTCCCTCACTGGCTCCAGGCCTTCCCCTCCTTCCCAGTCATGACTCCATTTAGGACACGGTCTATGCAAATGGACAGTAGCAGTTGCAGTTACCAAAATACGGAGTCCTGGTGCAGGCCTTGGGATCCTGGTGCAGGCTGGGAAGTCTATTGCATTCAGGCAGAGTGAGCAGCATTAGTCCTGGTTTGTAAATTCCTTTCTGGGCATTTTCCTCCATTGAGAGCCATTCCTTAAAGCAGTAGAGATCCTTTACCGCAAGACAATGCTCTCTACATTATTTTACAAAGAACAGTGAAATAGACGGTCAATAGCTTGCTGACAAACACTGCATTCACAATGGTGCACACACAGAAGTTATGCAAACAGATCCTTAGCTGGGGAAAATCAGCAAGGCTCCATTGATTTCCCTGGGGCCATGTTGATTTACACAAGCTATGAATCTGACCCATAAATTGTAATGGAGACATTGCATAAAACATGTGCTCTAGGGAAATCCTTGAAGCTACATTTTTGTGAAGCTGCCCTCGGTTCCAAGTACCACTCGTAGCATGGGTTCACACCAGCTTTCCCCCAGACGTTTATTGCAACCATCAAATGACAATGCGTTGTGTCTGTGGGTCTCTTTCACCTCTTGTCCTGCCTCAAAAGTCACCTTTCTGCTGTTATGCATGCAGAAAACTGCAATCTGATAACAGGTGGTCAGCTGCCATTACTGCACCCAATTGTCTGAGAATTGTGCACATCCTATTTTTTATCTCATCTCCCTGCTCTGGTCTCTTCAATTGTCTCCTCCACCTGCTATGTCTTGTCTTTTTCATTGTAATCTCTTTAGGGCAGAGACCTATACAGAGCACCTAGTACAATGCAACTCCCACATGGATGAGATACAGAGACCTATACAGAGCACCTGTATAGACCTATACAGAGCACCTGTAGTACAATGCAACTCCCACATGGATGAGATCGCTAGTACGAAGTCAATAGAAGTGTTAATAATAATATTATGAATAATAAGTAATAATAGATAAAAAGCAGACTCTCTGATGCTTGGCATCCTAGGTTATTCTTTGAAAGTGATAGGTAAATGAATTATTGAATTTTAAAAAATGCTTAATATTTTTCAGTTGTTTCAGGAATAGAGGCTCATGGCTTTAGCCTGTAAAGTTGCAGGTTCGGTCCCACCTGCTGACAACCTGGGTTTGTTGGCTTTACACACAGAAGCATGAAAACTGCCAATATTCATGACAAAGACGATGACCAGAATAGAAAGGGTGAGATTTTCCAATAAGTCTAAATGAGTCAGGCACCCCCATCTCATTGAAAGAGAATGGTGGTTGGGCTTTGAGAATCTCAGGTGAAGATTTCAATTCTGTCCTCATTTACCTGGGTGTGATTCTTACTGAAGTTAACAGGAGTTGCACACTTATCACTGGGGGGTTTGGTCTCATTGATTTTCTCTGTTACGCCTCCTACTTGCCTGCTAATGCCCAGCTACGAAGCATATAATTATTGGGAATTTTTCAGAGAAAACTTAGTTGAAAGATAGAAAACAGGTACCTACAACACTCAAATGCCCTATTCAGTGATTGGCAGAATTGCATTCCCATTCTTTAGTGGCTAAGTATCACCAACTGTTCTTGCAAAGGTATCAGCAGTTTTGGATAGGTCCTGAAACTACATCGTAATCTAACTGAAGTGGAACAGAACACACATTTCCTTCTGTTTCACCCTGATTTATGCTACATATTTATTATTTCCATAAATGTGCAGTGCTTCTGATATATTCAGAATGTAAGCAAGCCTGCTAATGCCCACCTATGAAGCATACAATTATTGGCTGATTTATTTCTGATGTCACAATTTCTTATTTAAAAATGGAATTTGACAAGATTTGAAAAGTGGTGAGGTCTGGCCAGTGGTATGGCTGTTGATAAAGAGCAGACAGCATAATTGGACAAATTAATATATACAACTCAAGAGGACTGCATAAAATGCAGCCAAGGGCTCAGAACCATTGACAATTACATTTCAGAAATCAAAGATCACACAAGATGTACCAGTATTGCAGTTCTGGAGAAGACTATTGTGGTGCGGCTTTTTGATACCTTAAAACAGGAAGAGGGCGTAGTTGCATGACATCTCTGACCTCAATCCATATTAAAATAATGGAACAAGTATATATAAATATTTAATTCTCTGTGCATCTGCAGAGTGGTAATGAAACCATTGGCAAAGAACAGCTGGGATTTTGACATGGATCATTCCAGACTAATCTATTAATTGTGAATTCTCTTGCAAACCCTTAGGCCCACCAAGACAGAGCCTCAGCTGGTGCAGGAGCGAGATTGTTGTACAGTAGCTTAGTCTTTGGTCCATAATTTTTCATGTGCTGTAGGCACAGAACTTCCCTTGAGGCTTTGGAGCTCAGTCCATAGAGGGCCACTTGTAGATGAGGGGAATGGAATGTAGTAGGTGTAATATTTAATACAGCAACTCAGAAAACCGTATCTGGCAAATTCACTGAGACTGATTTAAATATAAATATTGTTGCATAGACTGACAATAGGCTGAGGGGTATTGCATACGCAGGACTGGGCTGCTACATGGTTAGTGTGTATCATAAAAACATGAGAACAACCATACCAGGTCAGACCAAAAGTCCACCTAGCCTAGTATTCTGTCTTCCAACAGTGGCCAATACCAGATACCCCAGAAGGAGTGAATAGAATGGGCAATCATCAAGTGATCCCTCTCCTGTCATCCATTTCCAGCCCCTGACAAATGGAGGGTAAGGACACCACTCCTACCCATTCTGGCTAATAAGTATTGATGGACCTAACCTCCATGAATGTATCTAGTTCTTTTTTGAACCCTGCTAAAGTCCTGGCCTTCACAACATCCTCTGGCAAGGAGTTCCATGGGTTGACTGTATGCTGCGTGAAGAAAAACTTCCCTTTGTTTGGTTTAAACTTGAAACCTACTTATCACTATAAGTATGTACTTTCTTGTTACATCAATTGCTGTGTGGATTAGCGAATCCTATAATATATTCACCAATTATAATGCACACTTCATTATCATATTTCATACAGGGATTTCCCTAAATGACTTGGTTCTAGAGATGCTGAGGGAGTTGCACTGAAAGAGGTGAATATTTTGGGTAGATGTATCATTGACAGGGATAGCTGCTCCCTATGTAACAATAGAGGTAACGGTAATTAGAGATCGTTTGACTGTTTGGCTTAAGTGGCTTAAGCCACTATTTACCATTCCTGCCAGAGAGAGATTTGGCTGAACAAAGATTTCAGGAGTGTGACTGCTGATCTGATAAATGTTAATTTGACATTTTTCCTGAACATAGTTTGACAGACCCAGACAAGCTGGCTGTCGCCGTTTGATGGAAGGTAAGTATACGGGGTGCTGGATAAATAGTTCTCTATTCCCTGAATAAGCTCCCAGAGACTGCTGCCCTGTAATTAAGGCAGGTAGACACCTGAGGCTAATTAGCCTGCTCCTTTAGGCCAGCTGTTAATCAAGCACCTGCAGCCAATTAAAGCCTGGTGTGCTCCTTTGAAAGGTTCCCCCCAGGTAAGGAAGGGGGAAGGAGAAGAGGGATGGACCAAGAGGAAGAAGTGTGTTTGCAGAGAAGGGAAAGATTCAGTCAGGTACCAGAGAAAAGACAATAGAGGGAGCGTTTGGGGAAGTAGCCAACTGAAAAAGGCTGCTGTCTTGGGACTATAGGAAAAACCTGAACAGTTGCCACTGCCTAGGGTTGCTGGGCCAAATCCCAGAGTAGTGGGCGAACCCACATTCCTCCCAACTTCCCTGCACCACAGAAAGACCTGATTCTGAGAGAAGGTGGTCCAGGAATTATGGAGGGATCTCCCTCTCCCCATTCATTGACTTTGCCAGTGATGAAAATGACTCAGTAAGCTGTAACCCAGACCTCTAGAAAGACACAAGAGGCAGCGTCTAGGGTCACAGCGAGCCTCTGAGGCCTAGAATAACCACCTAAGGAGTGCAGGACCCCTAGAGCACAGCCAGAACTTTGCTACAATAGTTAAAATCATTAAATATTATGTGTATTTTACTGGGATAGCCAAATCTTGCAGCCCATGCTCTGACCTTACTTTGAATAACAACCTTATGATGTGGCCCCTTACAAATAAAATATTTAGGTTGTGTCTAGACTGGCCAGTTTTTCCGGAAAATCAGCCGCTTTTCTGGAAAATCTTGCCAGCTGTCTACACTGGCCGCTTGAATTTCCACAAAAGCACTGACTTCCTACTATAAGAAATCGGTGTTTCTTGCGGAAATACTATGCTGCTCCCGTTCAGGCAAAAGTCCTTTTCCACAAAACTTTTGCGCAAAAGGGCCAGTGTAGACAACTCAGATTTGTTTTCCGCAATAAAGCTCCGATCGTGAAAATGGTGATCGGGGCTTTTTTTTGTGGAAAAGCGCGTCTAGATTGGCACGGACGCTTTTCTGCAAAAAGTGCTTTTGCGGAAAAGCGTCCGTGCCAATCTAGACGCTCTTTTCTGAAAATGCTTTTAACGGAAAACTTTTCCGTTAAAAGCATTTCCGGAAAATCATGCCAGTCTAGACACAGCCACTGCGTTTACATAGTACTGTAAGTAGGATTCTTTTTCAGACCGTTTTATGGGCATTAACTCATTCATTAGTTAAACCTCTTTTGCTTGTCAGAGAGAAACCCAGTAGGATATTTTTGAAAGTGCTTTTGCTCTTTAATACTGATGCCTTCCCAGCATTCTCCTTATTACAAAGAGCTCACTGCAGTTAGAGTAAACTTGACATCTGTGTGCAGTGGGGCAGTTCGGAATCACCATGAGCAGATGAACAAAGCTAAAACTGGGGCAAAGAAAAATCCCATACACCATTTAACCATTCAAAAGGACATTTTCTTGCTCTTCCTTTCCATCCCCACTTCTCGTCCTGACAAACCTCCCCCACCACCGGCACCACCCACCCTCTCTGAAATATGCCCAGCTGGTGAGTGTTTTTTACCTGCACACGGGCTTTGGAGCCGGTCCAACTCCTGAGGGATTGCACTCCTGGAAGATGTAGTTACACAGCAGAGACTCAGCAGCTGGGTGGCAGAATGAACTCACCGTTTTCAGTTCAGTCCAGGCAGTTTGAACAAGCAGCTCTTGGGTCTCCTCTGGGTCAGCATAGGAGGAGTTGAAGAAAACAAGAGCATCCTTCGCCAAGATAGCACTACACACCTCACCTCTGTATGTGCTGCAGTAGCCTGTATCGCCCTTGTACAGTTTGCTGCAGGAGAAGAGGGGAGGGAAGGTACATAAAAGTAAACGTAAGACAGTATTCATAAGGCTAATTAGACAGTGACAAAGCAGCAGCACAAATATGCTATTAGAATAATCAAGTGGAATCCAAACATGGAACCACACAAGATTTCCACTCTGCCAGGAGCATGAGCGTATGGCACTGCAGGAGACATCTGTGCATGGAAGCCCTAGGACAGCAGTTGTAATTCAGCATAGGCAATCAATTTCAAACACAGCCCAACATTCAAACCAAACCCCCTCTACTCCAATATTTTCTTAGGTCTGGAAAAACGTATTTTCCCTCACTGATGCAGTTCTGGTTTCCCGTGTGGACTAGAAGCAGAAGGCTCTGGCCTAGTTCAGTGTAAGTGTAATAAGAAAGCATGACAATGTATAAGGTTTATAATTATAGGCCTTTTGGCACAATTAGTTCCTGAAAATTGAGTTTTAAGTCAAAATGTCGTAACTCTGAACCGCAATCCACTCCATTGCAGGACTGAGCATTGTAAAGTCGAAACCAATATTGTAAGTCAGAGCAGGGTGTCAGTTCAGAACCATCGTAACTGCTGTTCGTTGTACGCCAAACATCGTAAATTCAAGAATTGCCTGTATCAATCAGCTTTACTTAAAGGAGCTAATTGAGTAGCTGTCAGATAGGCTGGGATTGCTGTCAAGGAATGCAAACATGTGGAGTTTTGTTTTCATGTGAAGATATCCACACCCCTATGAGTCATCCAGCCACTAGCAGTTAGAGAGTAGGAGTGTCTGAGCATGCACCTGGGCACATTTTGCCTTGACTTTAACCAGAGAGCTTTCAAAATGCAGAGGGATGAGGCTTGGCGACAGCTGTCCTTGTTGTTCTTTCAGTCAGTTTAACAGAGGTCAGTGGGGTTCAGTTTGCAACATGCTAACTATTTGGAAAAGCCAGTGGAGCTGTCTGTATATTTTCCTTTTATTTGTTCCCCCCTCCACAAATTACCCATTGCCAGTATGATTTTTCCTCCCTTGAGAAAACTGAAACAGTACTGACAAGGGAATAAATAAGTCAAATGGATGAACCTTTTCCAATCCTGATTTCAATGGTTTTCAGAAACAATTTTCATAGCAATCTGATGACATTTTCTGGCTATGCTCCATTTCTTAATTGCATGGCTTTGGGGACAATCTCAAGCCTTTTTGGAATTTGTTTAACATTTGCTGAAAAAATGGTAACTCACTGATGATGGCAGTAATTTGAATATTGCCACCACAACTTTCTGTGCATGCTCAGAGGGGTGACCAGGATACTTCTGCTTGCATCAGTCAGCCTCTGCCTGAATATGCCTTCTGCTAGTATGCTGTTGCCCCTCCAAGAAAATATGATGGAGGGTAAGTTTCCAAATCAGCACTATGTGTCAGCGGGTACACTGAAGCAATGCTTGTTAGAGTGTGAAACATGGCAGGGTCACTGCCTTCTTTGAACAGTCATATTATTTTCTTATAAAATGTTACTATTTTGCTGTTTTTGTGATTAATGGGTGCGGAACTTCCTCCACACCCTTAGCGAGAGAAAGTTGGAAGGGGTAAGTGCACACATAGGATTCCATTGGTCAGCTGTGAAACCAGCTACTGTTATGGCAGGCGGCCCACAGGCATAGCTTGATAGCAACAATCAGTGTAAGTATGACATTTCCCTTGTGTTCAGAGACCTCAGAAGAATGTGTATGCGTGGTTATCTTAAAACTAAGTTAAGAGCCACAGACAGACATCTAACCACAGAGCAGAAACAATAATATGTTCATTTGGTGCCTCCTCATGTAGCACAAAATGTGGATTCTGAACTGCAACTGCCGAAAGGAACGGTTGCTGCAAAGAATTTGTGTGGAGATGCAGATTGAAAGATGTACATCTAAAATCTGTGTCCAGTAGAATGGAATCCCAAATGCTGAAAATTGAACTCTTCTCATGGATTAATTGTGAAGAGACAACAAGGGCCGAATTCATGGAGTAAATGTCCAATTCTATGAGGAAGGAATTTGAAAAGGCTCAACCAAATATATCCATGATATTTTCATTCTGGAAATCAGAGGGGAAATCTCAAATTAGATTCCCATATTATTTTCTAATACTCCTTGGCTACGTCTAGACTACATCCCTTTTTCGTAAAAGGGATGTAAATTAGACGTATCGCGATTGCTAATGAAGCGGGGATTTAAATCTCCCCCGCTTCATTAGCATAAAAATGGCTGCCGCTTTTATTCGACACGGAGCTTTGCCAAAAAAAAGTGCCAGTCTAGACGCGGGTCTTGCGGAAAATAAAGCCTTTTCTGAAAGATCCCTTATCCCTCTTTGAAATAAGGGATAAGGGATTTTTCAGAAAAGGCTTTTTTCCCCCGCAAGATCTGCGTCTAGACTGGCACTTTTTTCCAGCAAAGCTCCGTGCCGAAAAAAAGCGGCAGCCATTTTTATGCTAATGAAGCGGGGGAGATTTAAATCCCCGCTTCATTAGCAATTGCGATACGTCTAATTTACATCCCTTTTACAAAAAAAGGATGTAGTCTAGACGTAGCCCTTGGTTTCAACTGGATGAGTATACCACAATAATTTTAGTCACTTTCAATTCAGGTTCCATTTATGATTAGCTTACAGAGGTTTGATAAAGATTGATAGATGTTTTAATGGCTGGATATATAATAAATGGTAAAAGAATTGTGTGAGAGCACAAGTGGCCCGTACGTTATTCCTAACTATAGCTTACCATCCCCATTTTACAGACGGGGCGTCTTGCTCAAGATCATTAAGGAGCTGCCGACACTGTACACCACTGGTGGTGGCAGCATGTAAGATACATGTAGCTGCACACCACTGCGGTATAAAGCAAGCTGTGTCCACACTGCAGAGAAAGGCCAGGCGCAGCAGTTAATGGGGAAAGGCTCGGGCAGTGGCACTGATGCCAGAGCCTTTTCCAAAGGCCTTCCCCTACCAGGGACACCTCCTTCACTTTCTGGAGTCTTTTCCGGCAGTGGGGAAATTATTAGAGCGTTCCCCACTGTTCCGCCCAGCCAAAGCCTTCCCCTGTGCCAGGGAAAGACTCCATCAGCTCAGCAGGATACTAAAATTGTAATGTAGACAGAGGTGGCACTGCTTGGGCATCTAGAGAGTTGTCAGGTGTATCTTTATTCAAGTAATCAATGCCCCACTGTCTACACTGCAGTTTATATTTATGCTAGAGGGGGGCATGCAATGGATGTATGCTTCATGTTGCCGTAAGGAGTGTGCAGTGTAAACGTACCCTAAATAAGACAGTGGCAGGCTCCCAGTTTAATGGGTTACAGTTCTGTGGACTACTAGATCTTGTTTTATATTTCCCGTTAATCCTGGAGTTTTGCTTCCAGTCCTATTTGAAAGCAGGCCATGCAGAAGTGTGTTTAATGTTTTTAAAAACAGAGCTAGCCAATGCTTACAAAAAGAATGAAACCATTAGGCAGAGATCCAAGTTACTTCTTATTTTATCCAAACGTGTTTGCCCATTCCTAATATTGCTCTGAACAATTTTCTAAATCTTCTATTAATAGAAGTTTGCAGGACTAGTGATTATATTAAAAATAATTTGTTCAGTATATATACATGAGGCCATATTCTGCTGCTGGTATAATTCGTACCTACAACAGAAAGAATTCAATAAAGTTTCAAGTGTTAAACCAAGAACAGAATTAAGTATATTGGCTCAATTAGAAACAGTTTTAATTCATTTAGAAGCCAATTCCCAGTAACAATCTGTGCAACATCAATATGGTTACACATTTGAGAACCTCTTCAAGATGCTGTTCTTGCTTCAATACATTTTATCCTTAGTTTAGGTAATATATAATAAACCTCTTCTTTGTTCATAATTCGTCTCTTCTCATTGCCTTCCTAGCCCAAACCCTCAACAGACAAGAAAACACAGTCTTACCTCCATTCTATTGGAATGGCGCATGATTCAGCCACGACAGGGGTCAGGTTTAGGAAAGAAAAGGGAAAAAGTTTGTTAGTGGCCTTTTACCCATTTCTCTTGAACAAAAAAACTTACAATTCATCTAGAAAATGTTCTGTCACCCTCTTCTGTCAGTGATTTCTCTGTTCTAAAGGAAAGGGAGGCCAAGACCTTCTTTCCTGGATATATTTGGAGAAGACAGGAAGGAGAGTACATTAGGAACAGGAAGGCTTTTTTTCCGAGAGATTATGGCTGAAATGGATCATGGTGATCCAAGTACCAATGGCACTGACTCTAGCGGTAGGTGTGGGTGGTAGGTCATACAAAATCAGCAGTTGGTGTCCACACAGTGTAATGCCATAAAGATTAAATTGTGACTTACCCTGTGTGCTTGTGTTGGACATCAGCACTGCATGTGGGAAAGAGCACCCACAGTTGGGCAGAGTTTACAGGTGGGGATTGAGAATGAACGGAGCTCTATCTTTATTTTCCACAGTAAGGGTGTGTCTAGACTACATGCCTCCTTCGACGGAGGCACTTCCACAATAAGCCAGTGTACACAACTGAGCTAACACAAAGAGAGAAGTAATATGCTCCCAATCAGGGGCTGTTACAGATCATTTCTCTCCTGGAGCAAGAGGGAACCCTAGATTGAGGCCAGGTTTATATTTACCATCCTGGAAATTAATTTTCTTGCATTTGATTTAGCAGGTCTAGTAAAGACCAGCTAAATCAAATGCTGAGGGTACCTCTGGTCGGTGACACTACTTGTCAACTCATGAGGAGCAAAGGAAGCTGACGGGAACATTTGCTCCCACTATGAAGATGGCACCAAGCTCGGGTTATGGTGTGTCAATACCAGCTATGTTGTTTATATAGCTGGAGTTGTGTTCCTTAAGCTGACCTTCTGAGTCTAGTATAGACCTGGCCTGAATTATGATTGGCTTGTTCCGTGGGCACTACAGCTACACACAGCCCCTTATTCAGGGCTTATGGTAACTGCCATCAAGACTGAAGTGTTTTCTTGCAAGCAGCTCTAAGTCTTGCTTTGTTTTCCCATTATCCTAGCAACTCCTGAATAGGGGAAGGGCCCAGCAAACTGTGGTTTTTGGTTCCTGATGCCAAGTCTACACTGGGGGGAAAGTCGACCTAAGATACGCAACATCCTTTACGAGAATAGCATAGCTGGAGTCGACACTTCTTAGGTTGAATTACTGCACTGTGGGAGACCAACAGAAGAAACTCTCCCAAAGACTTCCCTTCCTTCTCACAACTCAGTGGAGCACCAAAGTCAGCAGGGGCACCATCAGTGGTCGATTTAGTGGGTCCTTACTAGACCTAGTAAATCAAACCCTGGAAGATTGATCTCCAGAGTGTCTATCTCAGCGTAAGTGGAAACAAACCCTGATCGTGCCAGTGCAGGAATGAACTGGGCCCTCAGATTATCCTCCAATGTTCAGTAGTTCCTCCTGCTTTATTACACTCCACATTTCCCAGTTCACCACACAGGAGGTCTCCTCACAAGGGTACAGTTTAGAGAGTGTGTATAAAACATAAGATGCTAGTGGCTCATTAAGGCTATTTTCACTTTGCTGTTTGGTGATATTAATATTGTGACTTTGTTCCACATGGACTAGCTTAGGGTATGTCTACACTGCCACCCTAGTTCAAACTCATTGCAGGAGGAGTAATGGTAGTTCGAATTAGGAGCTTTAATTCGAACTATCTAGCCTATGCCGCGTGTAGCCGCAGGCAGGTAATTCAAACTACTGTGCATTTAAAAATGGCGGCGCCCGGGAACATGCAAATGAAGCCTGGGATATTTAAATCCCGGGCTTCATTTGCAAGTTTGAATGACTACATTAGCCACCCTAGTTCGAACTAGGGTGGCAGTGTAGACAAACCCTTACACAGACCTTGCAAGACAACAGCAAGTAAGCAGGAAACGACAGCTGGGCCAGTCTTTGAAGTATAATGATATATCAGGAAATAACCCAGCAGGGGGTTGACGTTGTGGTCAAATTTAACCCACTGTAAATTATTATTAAGTGCAGCCCTTCACATCCTCCAAAGCTCCTTCTCCTACTATTTCCTCCTGAAAGAAGAATGCTAATGATTGGTGGCAAGTTACTTATTAAAAGCCTTTTCTCTTCAGCATACCTGACACACTGATTGTTGCTGCAGCTTTTGCTGTGCCAAAGGTTTTGCTGTGCTTGTTGGTGGCAATGCAAGTGAACAAGCCTGGCCTGGTGACATATGCTTGCAGTCGGGAGTCGATCACTCTGTCTTTCACGGTTTCTGCTATAGAGCCTGCGGAAACCTAAAAGGTTAGAGAATAGAACAATGGGTGAAGGTCTGGTTGGGGGGGGCTTTTATTAAGACAGTTTTAAAAATAATGAACCAACAGAGCTGAATCCGGTGGACTGAAGTGGCAGTGAGTTTAAGTACAGCATGGTCAGAGAACCGACTGAATATAAATGGCACCTTCTTAACAAAGCAAGTTTTGATAGCCTGGATTTTCATATGACTGGTGATTTGGGGTGCTTCAATTTAGGGGTGCCAGATATCTTTTAGTGGACCGAAGTTTTTGACCCAGATGTAAAGGGCTCTGTGTAATCTTGAACACTTGTGTCTCTCACCAACAAAAGTTCATCCAAAAAAGATGCCACCTTGCCCCAGTGTTCCCTGTAAAGTGTAGACCTGAGCGGGAACACACCAAGAATTTCAGGCCCACCCACCTCCTGAGCAGAGTCATGCAATGGTTGCTCAGCTTTTCCAAGGCAGGGCGAGGTGGGAGGGGTGACTTGTTCCAGGAGCAGCAGGGCAGCCCCCCTGCAGTCCTGGCCGTAGCTTCAGTCTTCCCGAGGGTTGGAGCCATGGGTCGTGTGGCAGCTGGCTTCAGTGGCCCTGGCCAGGCCAGAGCTGCAGCCAAGCCTCATGCGGTGGCAGCACCTGTCCAGTGTCCCCAGCCAGGGCCAGAGCTGCATGGGGGGGCCCCACTCTGGTGGCTGCTCTAGCAGCCAGGGCCAGAGGGCCAGAGCTGGGGCTGTGTAATGGGGTGCCCTAGGTCCAGCTTCACTAAAGGGCTCAGCCTTGGAATCTCAAAAGGTCCCAACCTGCAGTTATCTGAAGGTTAAAATAGATGGCAGGTGACTAGAGAAATGTTCTGCTCCCTGTTCATATTTATTTAAGAGCTGGAACCACACTGACCCTCTATATTCTTGCCACTTCTGAAGGCATCAGTCATGTCAATAGTGTTGATTGTCCCAATGACTATTTTTCTCCCTAAAATGGAAGTTATTTCTCTCTCTCACACACACACACACACATGTGCACGCGCGCATGTGCACGCTTTGGGTACATCTACACTGCAAGCTTCTTTTGGAATAAGCTTTTCCAGAAGGTATCTTCTGGAAAAGCTTATTTCGAAATAGAGCATCCACACTACAGGAAAGTCCGAGGCAGGCTCCCCTAATGTGGACACACTATCTAGACTTAAAGTCCCAGGAGGCACTGGGGAGGAATAACTTTAGAATGGCCCTGGTGAGGAACTATTTTGACAGCAGCAGTGGAGCGTCCACACACACACGCGCTTCCAAAAAAAGCTTTTTCGGAAGAGGTGTTATTCCTCAAGGAATGAGGTTTATCAATGTCAGAAAAAGCGCTTTGTTATTTCGATTTTCTTTCAAAATAACGCAATTGCTGTGTGGACACTGGCATTGTTTTACCAGAATAATGGCCGTTATTCTGGAAAAACGGGGAAATGTAGATGCACCCTCTGTGTGTAGAGGCAACTAAAAATTTGTTAATGAATATCGATTATTTTGTATAGATGCTAAATCAATATGAAGTTCATGATGACATATGAAAGGGACTTTTCTATGATTCACTGGGGTCTAAATCATGCAGATACTATAAGAAATATAATCAATAACTACATTGTGTCCTATATACAGTGTAATAATGTGAACTGAAGAAAAAGAGCTGGATGAAATTTTCTGGTTGATATTCCTAAATTCATTAACTTGTAACTGCAGAATGAGCTTTGGAGTCAATGGGGAGCATTTGTTGTGCTCTACAAATTACAGTAGACTTCTGATAATCCGGAACCTATGGGGACCTAAGTGGTGCCGGATTATCAGATATGCCAGACTATCAGGAGGTACTATAAACTGGTTATATATATACTGTATGCATTATATACTGTATATAAAGTGTTCGTAGCCCTTTTTATTGTACATACTGTATACGGTATACTGTTATGTTTTAGTTTTTTTAAGCCTTTTTTACCCTTTTTGCTCAGTTCAGCTGCTGCCGCTGTTACCTTGTGACTCATTTTCTGCCGAAGCTCACTCACTAGGCTCTTGCCATTTTGATGCCGGACTATCAGGAGTGCCGGACTATTGGATGCCGGACTATTGGAGTTTTACTGTACTACACTTTTTGGACTAGATTGGGCTGGGAAGAAAGGGCGGAGTTGGGATGAAGGGGGCATTGTGCAGAATACAGGGGCAAAAGAAGCATAATGCAGGGTTAGTGGCAAAGGGTGCACAGGATGGAGGTGCAGGGGTTGGGGAGCCCGTGATGCAGGAACAGTGGGAGAAAGGGTGAATGGGAGTGAGACTGGGTGCCAAGCTGGGTGGTTGTGTGTGTGGGGGGGGGGGGAAGGAGTGTGTGCAGGGTCATGCACCTTGTTAATAAACCCTTGATTTAGTATTTTTGCTTCCATAACCATTTAAAGTGTGTGTGTGTGTGTGTGTGTGTGTGTGTGTGTGTGTGTGTGTGTGCATGTGCGCGCGCACGTGCGCACTTACTATATACATATTGTAACTGGAAGGTGCCACAGCGGCACACATCTGAACAAGCGCACATGACGTCAATATTGGTGAACAAGAAAAACTCTCTCCGCTCATGGATGGAAAATCTTAGAGGGAACCCTGACTTGTCCATCTTCTTTCTCTGATGTAGCTCTTGAAAACGTCAAGTAATTGTATTTTTATACCTTACAAACTTGCTGTTTAATTTTTCTTCTTGGAACTTGAGAGTGTCCTAATTAAATGGATTGATTTTCTTTGTTTAAAAAAATCCCCTCCTCCTCACATAGGATTTTCTAAAACTTTTTCAAAATCCATTTTGGAACATATGAAAGAAGAGGTCTTGCCATATCTTTATATTTATCTTAATTCCCCCTTGCAGTAAAACAGAGAGCTATAGTTCAGTCCCATGATGTCTTACAATCACTAACAAGGGGAAACAGAATTGGACCTGTAGTTCTGTTAGTTTGGGTTTTTTTTAAATTGGATAGAAAAGACAACTGCTGTTTAGAGGAACTTTCATCTTTCTGCTCCGGGGCAGTTTAATGACTCCAAAGTTTTCATCCTCTTTTAACTTCAGGACAATTACAGATTAGTGTTCAGAGACTACAACAACAGAGAGGCTGCAGGGAGCACATCCTCAAATTACTCGCTGGTGCATGCTAGCAAGTCGGTCTTTAAATACATGTGCTCAATTCCACCTGTTTCCCCGTTTAACTTGACTAAAGGCAGGCACTCATTAAAGAAAGGTCTCCTTACCATATTTAAAGCCATGTGGTCAGAAAGGCATTCCTCTTGGGACTGATTTTGCCTTGCAGGCATAGAGACTGGAGCAGATCTGACCCTAGCCCAACAATACCCAGTTAAGAAATGGATTGAGTAGGCCAGGTGTATTGGTTAGACCCTCCTTTCTCTGGGACAAGTTTGTATTGACTGGATCTACACAGAGGGAAGGTACTAGCAAATCACCAGCTGGGGCAAGGGATCAGGAAATTGAGGAGAGAGAATACGCTACTGCTACTAGGGTTGCTAAGTGTCCGGTTTTGAACTGGACAGTCCAGTATTTGAGCTTTCTGTTCAGGAAACAAACTGAGGAAATAAAAATGAGAAAATAGAAATATCCGGTATTTTCTAAATAAGATGTAATGTAGATTGTGATGGAATGTCAAGTGTGTCTGGTATTTTTGTTGAAACCATCTGGCAACCCTAGCCACTACAGACAAAAGGCATTTGGGATCCTGTGCTGAGAGCTCCTTTCTTAGAGTGAGGCCTATTTAATAGTGGGGCAGAGCTTGCTATTCATATGACTCCTGCAAAAAAAGGCAGAGAATTCTGTCGTTCTGTTATTTTCTCAGCTGCTCTGCAGTTCCTCCATGGGAGCTTGATCTCAGACCGAAGAGCGGCAGAGTGCGGCTGTGAAAAAATATAAGAACACACATAGCCCAGTGCCCCAGAGAACACAACACAGAAATCTGGAGCATGACTATGCAGGATGGGGACTGCACGTGATTTATGCTGAAAGCACGGCTCACAAGGCAAATGCATGGGAGGATTATGTATGTCCCAAAGCTGCCACAACTAGAAAGATAATGTAGGAGTCATCCATTAGTGCCGTTACACATGGTTTACGACATCTTTTCCTTTGCATGTGGCCCCGCCTTAATCCCTGTAGCAATGTCAATCCCTGAGGCAAATTTTCTTCCTAGTAATCAGGGTGTGGCATTTGAGCTACTAGTCCTGAAAGAGGAGCTTGCCTTGCATTCTGCTTGTGATCACCTGTGTTCACGGGCTGTGGCATACAGTGTAAAATTAACAAATTGCAGTAAAAAATATCCACCTTCTGGGGATACTATAGCAGCGTCTTGTGTGTGGTAAGGCTGCTCTCCCTTCAGTGCCGGCTACTCTCCTCGTCCTGGTGGAGTTTCGACATCGACAGGAGAGTGCTCAGAGATCAATTTATTGCATCTAAGCAGATGTAATAAATTGACTGCTGGTGGATCGATTGCTGCAGCATCAATCCCCAGCAGATTGGAGACCAGCCCTTAAAAGAGCTCAAAATGTTTAGTTCAGCAGAAAGAACATCCAGAGCTGGACTTAATTACAGTGCATAACTACCTTCACAGGCAGCAAACACCAGGTAACAAAAGGCTCTCCAATGAATGTAGTACAAAGGCAGAACAAGCATAAAGGATAGACTTTAAAACCAGACAAATTCCTATAGAGAAAGGCATGCTTGTTTAACATTGAGGGAGATTGGACTACATCACCAAGGGAAGCATGGAGTCCCCAATTCTGAACGTTTTCAGATCACAATTGGGTGCCTTTCTGGAAGCCAGGCATTAGCCAAACACAAGCTATTGGGTTTATGATAGGTGGCAACTAGGTGAAATTTAAGGCTCCGTGTTATACATGAGGTCAGATGATATGATCCAATGGTTCTTTCTGGCCTTGGAAATCAATGAAGTAGGGATGTTAAAATGAGATTATTTTACTAATCAAGTAGTCGATAGAATTTTTATTGACTCCTCGATAAGTCGATAGGGGAAGGCTGCCGGCTCAGTCCTGGCTCGTGCCGGGATCAAACCCTGCTGCAGCTCTGGCTTCCCCCCTTGCTGCCTTTGATACAGAAGCAGCAGGGGTGGAGGGAAACATGAGTAGTTGACTCAACTACCTAATGAGCCTAGGCCTATCAGCTCGTCGACTAATCAACTACTTTTTTACATCCCTATAATGAACCTATAACTAATCTGTGTGGGCAGATTGTTTTAAGGACATTTTTTTCCTAATGCATCCTGGCACATACCATTCACCCCAGTCCATGTTTACAAAAATATCAGCCCGGTACTGACATCTCCCAGCATTTCCATGCCATGAGTCTCTGTCCTCTTTTCATGAATCTTTTTGCCCTAATATTATTGACCTATTTGGCTGCCTATCAAAGGGGTCATTAAAAGGAAAGCCAGACAAGATGGTGAGAAAAGACCCATAAAATCAAATATGCAGACCTATTTATGCAGAACATCACTAATAACAGCTGTATTGCACTCTTCGGGCGTGTCTAGACTACATGCCTCCGTCGATGGAGGCATGTAGATTAGACAGATAGGCAAAGGGAAATGAAGCCGCGATTTAAATAATCGCGGCTTCATTTAAATTTATATGGCTGCCGCGCTGAGCCGACAAACAGCTGATCAGCTGTTTGTTGGCTCAGCGCGCTAGTCTGGACGCTCCC